GTACCACAGAGTTACAGTATGGCTATAAGCCACTTCATCTGTATCAGGGTGAACTCTCTTGTGTGACACTAACAGGAAAGCTGGACACTATTCGCCTCCAGTCTCATTTCTATTCCGATAGCCAGGACATTATTGATTCTGAGGTTTGTCCTTTTGTTATTACATGTAATTTTGCAATTTAATTTGTACATTTCTTTAGATTAAATTGTCCTTTGATAAAAGTTTAAAGCTTAAGAAATTTAAAGAAGCTTGGAGCTTTGCTTCAGCATTAGACAGTGAAGACTGCTGGAGGGAACTCAGAACTGCAGCACTGTATCATTTTGATATTGAAACAGGTAAAACTGATACCATTAAGGCACATGTACATGTTTACTGTAACATGATTTTTAATTGTTCATACATGTTTCATGTGTACATGTAACAGACTAATAGTGCATGTACAGTCAAACCTCTCTAAGACGGACACCTATGAGCCAGCCATCACTGTCCTTTATATGGAGGTGTCCTTAAATCAGAGGTTATTCAATACTAATCAGACCAGAAAATCCGCCATTTTCTTGATGCGCATTAATTAGAAAGTCCGTTGCGTGGGCCGTGTCCATCCATTGGAGGTTAATTTATACACGTGTAGATGTGTGGGGACAGTAAATCTTGTCCGTTATACAGAATAGAGAGGTTCCGCTCTACAGAGGTTCTTTTATATACTACCTAATGGCTTTATGGCCGGGACAAGAGCAACTGTACGTTATAGAGAGGTGTCTGCTAATTGGGGGTTTGTTTTAGAGAGGTTTGACTGTATACTGTGATTGTGGACAGTATTACAGTTGCATTACTAGTTGCATGTTTCTACTTGTTTTTTCTCATGTCATGTTTTTATATTCATTGTTCATGTACATGCATGTATGTATAAGTATTACTTCATTTTTATTAAATTTTTGATACTTGTACATGTTCTTATCTTATATATCAAGTTTGAGCTGATTCTAATTGAATAGCGATAGGATTTATGGTTACATGTACATATGTATCTTAACAAACACACTTGCTTCCTCCTGTTACTATTTATTTGTATTTGTAGCTATTCTTGCATCACAGCAGATGAAGGATGTATCATTAGTGTATTCTCTCAAGGATATATCTGTGAGTTGTTTTTTGTACATATACATTTATCTGTCCCTTAGTCTGTTGAAGATAGAAACCTTGTTGCTGGATATATCTTTATGTATAAAGATGAGCATTCTAGAGCACAGGAGCTATTCCTTGAATCTTCTGAACCAACTGTTGCACTTGATGTGAGTACCTTAAAGAGACAATTGTTTGCGGGTATTTAATTTAGCGAATTTTAGCGAATTTTAAAAAATCGCTAACTTAAGTCCGCGCTAACTTTAATAACTTCATTAAAAGCGGGTGTGGTCACAATGAATAAAATGGCGGCTGTCAGCAGCTCTGAGCTTAATTCGAGGCTTATTTGCAGCAAACGGTCTGCAAGATAAGACTGAACTGCTGTCCAAAGACTTAGACAAAGCAGATGACAATCTTCTTTGTTCAGTAACTGCTTCTAATTTTAAGCAAGATAACTTTACATTTTTGGAGCAGTCAGTGATGAAGCTTGAAGCAATGTAAGCAAGATTAATGCAACAAGGTCTACTGTATTTAGACTTTGCTTGCTCATACATGTAGATCACAGCACATAATCTATAGCTTGCTTAAGCTCACCCCAAATGTTTTTTAGTAGTTATTAATACCAAATGATCAAAAACGCTGAATTAAGTACCAGCCAAATGTCAGTACCATGAAAATCGCTAAAATAAGTACACGCTAATAATTGTCTCCTTAAGGTAATATTGATTGATTAATAGCAATTAATGTACATGTACATTGATTGTGTATAGATGCAGTGTGATCTACTTCATTGGGATCAAGCCTTAGAGCTAGCCACAGCACTGGACCCATCTCGTATTCCAATGCTAAGTAGACAGTACGCTCAGCAGTTGGAGTCAATGTAAGTACATTGTAGCAAGAGTACTCTTCATTGAAGTATGCATACAGTACAGTCACATGTACATGTATTATACATGAATACTAATTATATGTATTAAGAACAGGTCATTCCTAAGATTGATTTCACCCATGCATGTGCATGTCCATACTGACATTCCTTTTATACACATTGCATAACACAAGGTCGTAGACAAGTATTTATGATTAGTAGGGCAGAATATTGATAGTGGGTGTGGCCTAGTATTAATTAAGTCTTGAAAATGGCAACACAAAAAGAGACCGTAACTTGAAAAATTGAAGTTGGAATTAGCTCAAACTTTCTACACAGCATAAGGACACCAATATGTATCAGAGAATGCAAT